GGAACATGATGGAATCCCAACATAGGAAACAAATGGAATCCATAAAACAGATGCAAATAGATTTCCAGGAGATCAAAAACTCCATTGAAAGTCTACACAGCAGAATGAGCCAATGTGAGGACAGAATTTCAGATACAGAAGATAAGATTGCAATTAGTGATCAGGAGAAGGATCTTGAGCATGTTTCTCCATGCAATCGCTCCATGATGGAGTTTAATACTGACATTCATTAAATAATATAAAATTCTCTAATGTCTTATCTTCTAGCCTGGCCCAGTGCAGATCCCACACTCCCTGAGAACCACTTTCCAAATTCTCCAGTACACTTTAATCAGACCTTATTCTGAGTTGTCTGTTCTACAAGTGTATCTATTTCTGTCAGAAAAACTTAAGGGCCAGGAGGACATTGTACTTCTTTTGAATCCTCAGACATATCACTGTCTCACATGTAACGAGGTACTCAATGCCTATTTTATGATCCTAAAACATTAGTATAAATGAAAGATGACTTTCTGAAGTATATGTGTATATATGAAGTTATCACTGACCAAGAAAAAATGAAACATTTAATACTAGATTGGCCCCAAAGGAATACTGTGGGATTTTCAGGTAAGTTGGTGGGTTCAGGGTTACTATCAACAATTCATAAATCAACGGCCAGTAAGCCTATGGAAAAATGTTCAACATCTGTAGCTATTATAGAAATGTAAATCAAAGATCTAAATGTTGAAATGGAAACACTAAACCTGCTGGAAGAGAGGTTAGAACTCTTGAAGACATTGGTGTGGGAAAAGACTTATGAACAAAACCTCAGTCACACAAAAGTTAGCACAAAGAATCAACAACTGGGATTTCATCTTATTAAAAAGCTTCTGCACAGCAAAAGAAACCACTGACAGAGTAAAGAGACAACCCACAATCTGACAAAAAAATTTTCCAGCTGTTTCTCAGGCAAAGGGCTACCATCTAGGATATATAAAAACTTTAAAAAATCAGACCTCCCAAATTTAAAGACCCAATCCAAAAATGGGCATCTGAAATGAATAGACATTTCTTGAACAAAGAAGTAGAATCAGCCAATAAACATATGAAAAAATGTTCATCATCACTAATCATCTGAGAGATGAAAATGAAAACAATGCTAAAATTCCACTTCACTTCAGAGAGAATGGCTGCTTTCAAGAAATCAATCAATAGCAAATGCTGGTGGGGTTGTGGGGAAAAAGGAACACTTCTCCACTGTTGGTGGGAGAGTAGACTGGTGCAACCACTGTGGAAATAACTATGAAGATACATCAAAAAACTAGGATTAGAGGTCCCATTTCACCTAGCTATTCCCCTACTGGGTATCTTCCTAAAAGAATTAAAAGCATCATACCATATGTGCACCCATGTTTATAGCGGCACATTTTATAATAGCTAAATCTTGGAAACAGCCCAAATGCCCATCAACTGGAGGCTGGATAAAGAAAATGTGTGGTTTTTTTAAAATAAAATGGAGTACTACTCAGCCATAAAGAATGAGAAACTAGGAACATTCATAGCTAAATGGATGTGCATTGAGGCCATACTCTTAAGTGAAATAAATAGGACACACGTGTGTAAATACCAAATAGTTTCTCTGGTGAAAGAAACAAAGTGTAAATGAGGACCAAAATGTGTAATAGATAATGTGAAATAGGAAGAAAAGTCCAAAGGGGAGAGGGAAGGGGAAGGGGATGGGGTGGAAAGGAAAAAATATGAGGAAAGGAAAAAACAGAAACAACGTTTTTGTAAATAGAGAGGGGTGGAGGGGTTGAAAGGAGGCCAAGGGAATGGGGAAAAAATAAGAACCAAGATACATCATGTACAGGTATAAATTCCCAATGATGAATGTCATCATATTTTATACCTAAAATGTACCAATAGAATTAATGAATAAAAAAATTACATTGAGATTCGATCTCAGTCTCACAAGAATGGCGATCATCAATAATACAAAAAACATACTGGAGAGCATGGGTAGTGGGGCTTTCTGTACTGCTGGTGGGAGTGCAAATTAGCACAGCCACCATGGAAATCAATATGGAGGTTCCTCAGAAAACTACAAATAGAGCCACCATTTGATCCAGTTATGTCACTCCATAGTATAGACCCAAAGGAATTAAAACTCACTGTAGGGATACTTGCATACCTATTTTTATTGCAGCACAATTCACAAGAGCCAAGATATGGAACTAGCCTCGGTGCCCATCAACAGATGAATGGATAAAGAAAATGTGGTTTATGTACATAGTGAAGTTTCATTTGGCCATAGAGAATGATACCTTGTCATTTGCTGGAAAGTGGATGGCAATTGCTATCATTATGTTAAGTAAAATAAATCAAATTCAGAAAGACAGATGTCACATGTTTTCCCTAATATGCAGAATCTGAAAAAGAGAAAGAGAAAAGTGACATAAAAAGAGAAGGGAGACTATTATTAGACAAGAGCAAGGGAATAATGGAGAGCAGGGAGGGGATGTGAGGAAGGGTAATAGAGGGATGGATATGCTGTGTTCACGTATGAGAATAGATAAGTGGGTGAAAAGAGCCTATTATTTTACCAGAGTACGACAGCTTAATAGGATCTTTTGCAAATGGACAGGTGACCGAGAGACGGAAGAAAGGACAGGATGGAGAGGGGAAGGGGACATGCAAACAACCCCCCACTTCCACTGCATTAACTACATTTACTACGTTAACAGCCACTTTACATGTACAGCTCAACTGCACATTCACAAACACCTATCACCTCCGCTCATGTCCAGAGCACTCTGACCCGTAAAACTGAAACTCTACAACAATTCCTATTCCCTCTCCCACAGTCTGTGGCAACCACCACTCTGCTTTCTGTCTCTGTGCATTGTTCTGCTCTGCACACCTCAGAGGAGTGGAAACAGGCAGTATTGGTCTTCAAAGGGCTGACTTTTTTCACTTTGAATAATAGTATCCTCAAGTCCCATCCATGTTGTAACATGTGTCAGCATTTCTTTCCTGTTTTAAGTACAAATAGCAGCCCATTGTGTGTACCAGCCACATTGTGTGAATCAGTTCATCTCTGGGTGAGCATCTGGAGTAGCTCCCATGTTTGCTACACTCGGATGGTGAGAAGTAGAGATGTAGAGTGAACACAGGACAGGGCCTAGGGGCCAGAGCCTGAGGAAGCCAGGCATAAGAGGCTGGGTAGAGAAGGACAAATCTGTAAGGGAGCTGAGGATGCAGTTCTGTGACTGGAAGGAAACCTAGGAGAGCACAGTAGCATGAAAAGCAAAGAAGGATCATCGTTCTCAGAAAGATGCCCGATGATGAATGCTGCTGGCAATGCAAAGCAAAGGAAGCTGAAAATGCCCATGATATTGATAGTCAGTGGTCATGGTGACCTGTAGAAATTTGCCTTCTGTTTGATTATCATTTACTGCGGACTCCTTGAGAACAGGGCCTTTAAACAGAGCTCCTCACCCTCCTGGAGTGTTTTGTATTTTAAAAGTTCCCAATATGTGTTACACAGTAAACTCAGATGATACACTTGATAGTGGATTCTGGGCATCATGACGATTAATCCCAGTGTGTCAACTTCACTGGATTTAGAAATGCCTCAAAGATGAATAAAGCACACCTCTGGAGCGGTCACGACCTTGGTTTTTATATGCAGTCCCTCCCCAGTTCCTCTCTGGCCCTGTTCCCCTGCTGTGTTTCCCACCTCCATAAACTGAGCGGCATTGCTCCTTCACACCCTTCTATCAAGGGGTTCTCCCTTGGAGCCAGGTGGCTGTGGATTGACCTGAAAGCATGAGCTAAATTAAACCTTTCCTCTTTTAAGCTGCGGGTGTCAGATATCGTGTCTCAGTGCCAGCAAAGCTAACTAGTACAGGCATGATGCAACTGTTCTGTGTCCTAATTGGAGTTTTGATCACACAAATCTGTGTATGTGCTAAAATTCACAGAACTCTATACCTCACAATGATCTATTTTATTGTATATTTATTTAACTAAAAAAATATAATGGTTTTTTTTAATGATTGTGCAGTCATGAATGTTGGTTGTAAAATGATTCTTTAACTCTTGTATCTTCCAAATAGTTCTTTGTATTTACGCAAGATTTTTAAAGAGGGGAATATTGAATAAAAACAACAAAAGTTTTAAATAAGGCATTTAGGATAAATGCCAAAAAATAAGAAAATGTATGGAAATACATGGATAATTGAGGTCAATAGTAAGAAAAAAGAAAGAGGACAATAAAACGCTACTGTCTCTTTTTTTAAAGACAGGAATGGGTCACTTGCGTGTGACAGGAGATGGCCTTCGTCTGGAAGGAGAATCGGAATTCTTATTCCCACTGTATGTCAAAGAAATACACTCCAGAGTGGTAAGAAAGTGATTTAAGGTTCAAACAATTTGTGCTTCATGAACAATTATGGTTAAGCACAGAAATCAAATATTTTTGGAGAAGATTTTTAGAGTATACATACCTACACGTGGGTGGCATGCTTTTAATAAAAAGCTTGGCTTTTATGTTGTGGAACTCATCTCTGATATTACATTCTGTAAAGGTTTTATTAGGTGCCCTCATTATTATTGACCTTAATTAACTAAAGATTTAAGAATGAGCATCTTTGCCCAAAAAACAAGTTAAACGTCCTTTCACCAGTGCAAGCGGCTTAAATAGTCTTGTTTCGGGGCATCAAAATTATCTGAGAAGCTTTGGAGAAATTAGTCTCATAGTAGTATATTCTGTATTAGTTATACTAATTACAGATTATGATCGTACAGAAGTCTCCATAGTACATCCAATATCCTCATTAAATAATTGTGAGACTTTAAAAGTAAATCAACATTTTCTTCATTTACCCTCATGGATTTTATAAAAAAGAATAGCCCAAGTAAAGTCAAACAATTTTTAATATATTCTACTTTTTCCTATGCAATGCTATGAACATTGTTCTAGATTATTATAAATGACATTTCTCCTTCCCCAAAAGTTAAAACATCATCCAATTATAACATACCAATTACCTAAAGAGTACACTCTTCACTTTCCTTCTATATTTCTGAAAGTGAATTGATATTTTAGTGTCTCCCGCCTGCAGATGCTGTACAGCTACCATAGGAGAATCAGAAAAGAAACGAAAGACTTACCACTAAGAAACACCAGGGGCTATTAAAGAAATGAAAAACCCTCCTAAGCTAGACATTAGAATAACAAGTTCTGCTGCCAGCTGCAGAAGGATGCAACATAAATTTTACACATAAAAAACTGACCACCAAGGAGAGATCCTAGGAGTACAAACCCTGTAGGTACTTTTATGCATGACTATATTATATTTCTTCTAGAAATATCTTATTGGCCATAAAGTAGACCAATGACCTGTCATATCATAGGCTAATTCATGTCTGAGCCCAATTCTGTGAGCTGTTTCCAGTAATAGCCTTACATTCACCATGAAAGCATTTTAGGATGTTAAGTAGCTCTGTCATACAGGTACATGGAAAATTAACAAAAGTTTTTGTAAAAAGGGAAGTCAGACATAAATAAAGCATTAAAAATATTAGAATTTAGCCTTTTTCTCCCAGAGATGTGTTGGCTGATCTCTCATCATATTTTGGAAGAAATCAGAGTGGTAAACTGTCCTTAAGATTGAAATCAGGTGACTAGATCATAACAAATATAATATTCTGGAATTAATAATAATTTTCAGTTCAATTTTATCAGACTCTTTCATCTCTGGTATTCTTTAAAAAGAAAACAAGGAGCAAAATTACAAAACTATTTCAGATAACCATGTATTAAAGTCTCACAAAGTGGCATTAATGGGTGTCAATCAATACTTAATGAAATTATAGAAATAACTTGAATATTATGTGATAATAGAGCTATACAAAATTTTGTAACTAATATAGCTTTTACAACAATAGAAGTTACAGAATAAAACTATGCCTTGTTAACTTCTGTGTGCACAGCAAATACATTAGTCACAAGTTTTCTTTTCAAAGGCAAGTCAAGGAAGCAATTTTCCATAAAATTGCAGAAAACAAATTGTCTTATAAATTTGCAAAATTTGCCACATTATTCACTAATCTATACTGCTGGGCTAACAGAATTTCTTAATTATAAATATAATTTAGGATGGTGCTCTGATCTCTAAAGTCTGATTACTCAGTAACCCCTCACGTAATGCACGAGGGCCTGTATTTAATTTGTGGTTTAAATCCTTGCACCCTAAAACAAAAAGGTTTTATAGGTGAAATAGCCCTTATACTTAACCAAAATTGTCTGAGATTTTACATTGTTTTCAGATTTTTTAATATTTGCATATACATAATGTGATATTTTGGAAATGGGACTGAAATCTAAACAAGAAATTTCACTCATGTTTCAAACATACTTTATTCACATCACCTGAAGGTGAATACAATATTTGTAGCACACGTGCATTTGGCTGTGAGCTATCACATAAGGTCAGGTGTGAAATTTTTCACTTCTGGCATCAAGCCAATGCTCAAAAAGTTTCAGGTTTTGGAGCATTTGAGGTTTTCGATTTTCAGATGCTCAGTCTGTATTTCAAAAATAGAGAACCAGACTGGGGTGGTGGCACACGCATGATCCCCGTACTCAGAACACTGAGGGAGGAGGATTGCTGTGAGTTCAAGGACAGCCTGGGCTATATAGCAAGATCTTGTCTAAAAAAAGGAAAAACTAGAACCATGAACAAGAATGAAATGAGTCAGAAATACATAGTCATGATGCTTTACTTGAAATGATCATCTTTGAGGTTCACAGCCCTGAAAAGAAGCAAGGGTGATTTACAGCCAAAGCCATGGGGTAATAAGAACCAAAAAGGATGAGACTCCATCCAGGACCATGCACAAGTTGGTGATGAAAGCAGAAAACAGCTTAGCTGCTGCCTATCCATGCTTGATCCCAGCTGCCCATGTGGGGAGAGTCCCCCAGATGCCAGGCTGGGACCAGCACATCCCTGAGGACAGAAGCCTTAAGACACCATTGTGAGCCTGAGGGACCCAGGAGTCTGATGGAAATAATAGTACAGGCTTTGATGGGCTGATGAGAGCAGAAAGACAAATACATCTACAACATATAAAGAACTAAAGACTGAAATGTTAGATCACACAAGAAAAGCTTCATCCAAAAGAAATGCCCGATTAACCTTACAAAAAGAGGACTGACATCCAACTAAATACAAACAGCTCTCCATATCTGTGAGCTCTAAATCCAAGGATTCAACCAAGTACAGATCAAAAATATGTTTTTAAAAATATGTACTGAATATATACAGTCTCTTCTCCTTATCATTATTCCTAAACCATACAGTACAACTATTTACGTGGTAAATCTATTGTGTAGGTATTATAAGTAATGTAGAGATGCTCTAAAGTGTATAGGAGGGTGCACATAGGTTCTATCCATTTTATTTAACAGACTTGTCCATCCATGGATTGCGATACCCTCAGGGCAGCCTGGAATAAACTCCCCTGCAGATAACAAGGAATGCCTGTGTACTACTTTACTGTTAATACAGGAGCACAGCAGTCTCTGGATTCTTGTTATATCAATTATGGAGGTTTTGTATTGTGTACAAGAGAATACCAAGCCAGCATCAGCATGAACTAACAGGAGCTTTAATTCCCACATAACAACTAGCTGGAGGGAGCAACTACAGCCTTGCTTCAGCCTTTGCCATCCTCTTACTTTTCCCCTAGCAGACCGCTAGACCATATCCAAGGCATGTGGCCAGGAAATGTCAGTGTTGGGGTGTATATGTGCCAAGACACTAAGTCCCACCCCAGCAGGTCTCAGCCTACACCTCCCTGGGCTCAGGCTTGGGCACCACTAGCCACAGGTGCTGCTAGGAAAATAAGCTTGTAGCTCTTCCAACAAAAAGGGTATGGAGTGCCTGTGGGCTCAAAGAACCAGAAGTGAACCCCACAAGAGCTGACTTTGTCCAGGCATGAGGGTGGATCTCCCAGCTCAAACCTGGGCCCTGCCCTCCCATTCCAGCAGAATGGTAGCAAAGAGCATGGGAGTTGCCATCTAAAGATCGAGTTCCATCATGGAACTGTCACTTGTTAGCTGTGACTTGAAGTGAGCAGTAATCTGTTCTCTCTGAGTTCAATTTCCTCACCTCTGTATTAGGAGTAATGGTACCTACTTCATAATGTGGAGGATAAAATGAGAGGCTCGATACTAAAATCACTATTAAAGTGTTCATTCTTATTATCATGCCAGTTATTTTCTAATCATCCAACAACAATTAAAGACAACATCACCGGATAAAATGTGAGCTGCTGTTAGACTTACCTGTTTTCACAAAACAAGTTAGAGAATTCCTTACATTCTTGATAGACTTCCACAGGCTCTTAAAACCTCTTTCCTTCTGGAAAAATCACAGAATTCCCTCTACTTTGGAAGATTTTCAGTGCCTGTGAGTGAAACATAAATTCACATGCTTGCAACAGCCAAATTACTGCATTCCCTTTGAAGACAGTCATTTATATAAATGCAAGCAAACTTCCATTCATAAGGTTTATTATGGTGCCCCAGAAAGCATTTACATTCTTGGAAAGCCATTGCCTTCCAACAAAAATTTCAAAAAATGTAGGTACCCATGTAATTTTAAAAGCTCTTTTTTATAATTAAAAAATTTAACTGATAAGTAAAAACATTTGATATGTATATATATGTATATATATCAGCGGAGTACCATGTGTTCTTTTGATACATGTATATATACATTGTGTAACGTTTAAATTAGGTAAAACATATATACCTTCTCAACATTTATCATTTATGATTTTGATGAAAGCATTCAAAATTTTTTCTAGCCCTTTGAAATGTACAGTTCATTGTTGTTATCTGTAATCGCCCTCCTGTGCAATAGCACACAGAACTTCTTGTCCCCTATCCAACCGTAACTTAATATCTATTGATCAACCTCTCCTCATCAGTCCGACCCTCCAGCCTCTGGTAACCACCACTTGATTCTCTACTCTGAGATCATCTCATACCTGTCTTTCTGGGTCCAGCCTTTTTGAAATTGTGATGAGAAGTCTGCATTTTGAAAATATGTGGCATGGTATTTCTTATCAAATAGCTAATTATTCTCTGATTTATGTTCTTAAAATAGATCTTGTCCTGGACATAAATACCAACAACTACTAAAGAATTTTAATTCCTTGAAAAAGTAAAAGTACTAATTACAACATGATCATAAAAAGCGCTAATCATTGAAGTTTACATTGAGAACTGTTCGGCACATTGTAACTAGTGCACAGAGCATTGTAAACCCGAAGTTAATATATTTACTCCCTCAACATAATCCAAACTCTTTAAATAATTTTACCCATCAAATTTATAGGATCCTATGATGTGTTGATGATGGAGAAATTCTACATAAACCTAAAATTAAACGCAAATATATCTTTTGCTATCTTTGTAAACCCATTTCCAGGATTCATCTCTGCTTCTACAGTCAACTCAGAATGTTACCATGAATGCACGAAACTCAGAAGGGGAAGTCACAGGCAGGTTAAAAGTGGGTGAGTCCAATTCCTCAAATGTCTTTATGCACATGGGGTCCAGGTACAGAGCTCCACAGATAAGCTGCTTTCTCTTCCAGGGGATTAAGGGCTTATGGATGAGTAATAACAACACATGAATTTTCTAAAATCCATGTTGTGCTAACCACAGAGAATAGCGCCATGGGCTGGGTGGGAGGACAACTTGACATTTTTTAATCAAAATTATTTTTGTTCTGAGAAACTTAGGATCATCCAAGCTAGTGCAAGAGACAGAATACTGATTACAGAATAAAAACAAAAATCTCTCATCGACCAAAGTAAAGGAATCAAAGTAGCTGGCCTCAGAAGAACAGAAGTCAGGGCTGAGAGCCAAAATCCTGTTCCTACTTGCCTCCTCCCTTCTTCAGCCCCAGCCTCCTTGTCTCTTTCTCCCTCCTCTCTTCTCTAGCCTCACTTCTCTCCCTCTTGCTATTGCCCTTTCTCCTCCCTAAATGCTCCATGATCCTCCTTTCCAGTGTACCTTTACCCATCACTTCTACTTGGATGTGACAGCTGTCTCACTGCTGGCTCCACAGGGCCTGGAGAGCCTCCCTGCCTCATCTGCTTTCTGTAGTTCTCACCATTTACCATCTTAGCCTCCAGTTGTACAAATTCTAAACTTCCAACAGAGACCTCAATAAGTGAGCCCAGCTCCCCTGTTCAACCAGCCACCCCCAGGTCAGCTTTGTCCACCCTCCCAATGGGCTAAGGCCAGAGAATGAGGTCCTGTAGGGATGAAGTCACATGGAAGCTTTCAGACTGGAAAAAGATCAGCAAGAAGGGGCACACACCTGGATTCATCCAAACACAATTAAAAATACGTGAAAAACATTGCTCCCATACTGAACAGGTACACACTTTACTTTCTTCTCATTATTCCTAACAATGCAGGGAAGCAACTGTTTACATGATATTTCCATGTTGTTAATCATAGAGATGATTTTGAGGACATAAGAGGACTGTGTAGGTTCTGTGCAAACACTACTCTATTTACATAAGGGACTTAGGCAGGGTATCTGCAGAGGGCACTGGTACCAGTTCCACAGGGATTCTTAGAAGCACTTTACGACTTAAGAAATAACAAAAGAGAAAACCAAATGAGAAAAGCAAGGCATATCATTCTCTACACCATCCACACTGCACAGATGTGCTAAACCTATGAAACTGGCTGACTCTTGTGACTAAGGAGAAATGGAGTTAAAGGTATACAGCCGTGACCAGGACACAATAGAAATTCTCAGGTCTCTCTTTTTCCATGGCTTCTACAAAGCCAAATAATGTTGCACTGAAAAGTGCAGCTATTCATTAACCAAATGGTTACTTTATTATACTATACTTTTTTATATTATACTTCCTATTTTATGTTGTTTCAATTTTTATAACTTACCATGGATAATGAATTGTATTTTGTTTTTGCTTAGACATTTCAGTCAATCACTCCATCCACTGAAATTCTCATTCAATCTAGAAATGAACCTGAGGTTATCCAATATCCATGTTCTTGAAACTTGGTGAAATTAATTCCTATTTTCTTGATGACTTATACAGCATTAAGATTTATTTTTACCATCATTTCTTTAAAATCCTTATCTGCCTATAGTGTTTAAGTATTTGAGAAGTTTTTGCTCAGTCTTCTTATTCGTTCAACAAATATTTGCTGAATGTCTAAGGCTAGTCTCTATAGCTGTCAAGTAATAACATGTAGAATCAAAATGTATAATTGATATTGTGAAATAGGAAGAAAAGGTCTAAAGGAGTAGGGGAAGTGGGAGGGGTTGGGGAAAGGAAAGAAGGGAAAAGAAAAAATATGAGAAAAGAAAAAACATGGAAACAAAGTCTTTGTAAATAGGGAAGGGTGGAGGGGGTGAAGGGAGGGCAGGGGAAGGAGAAAAACATAGGAACCAAGATACTCATGTAAAGGTACAAGATCCCAATGATGAATGTAACTGTATTGTATACCTAAAATGGACCAATAAACTTAATGGGGAAAAAAGTGATAACTTGTAGAGAGTGTAGAATTATTTCTCAGAAGTTCCAAGGGTGGAAGAGTTTTTATTTATACTCTTATAAAAATTAATTGGCACAGATACTCATTTCCTTATCTTTTTGTAAATGAGATTTTCATGGAGACAAGATAGAGATCACATAGACATGGCTCTCATTTCAAAGGTAGAAAAATGGAAGCCCCAAAAATCTCTTTAGTTCTCAGGAACACACAGAGAGTTAGGAGAAAAGTCACGATGGAACCGGCCCAGGCCTTGCTGCTCTCCACAGCCGTGTTCTCGCCCTTCTCCCCATCAGTCTCCCGAGACCGAGCAGGCCAGGACCTCTCCTACCTATGTAAACCCATTTCCCACTTCCGTCATCAAGAAATTACCAGGAGTTACACCAGTTGTTGTCAGAAAAATTCACCCAATGAAATTACTTTTGTCAAAAGTGTTAAACTTGGTGCCTCATGCCCAATTATGTATTTAAATTGGTGATTTACAAATCTTTGGATGGAAAATCTGTCATATCAATGGACCTTGAGCTAGATGCACTACTCAGCTCACCACATTTCAGAGTTTTTTCTTTCAGTAAATGTATCTCCCAACCACAATACTTCCAGTTTCACATTTCCAGGAAGAGGTTCACTTTAGTCTATTTGTATATTAAAATATGATGTACCTAAAGTAGCCAAATGAATCCAATTTAGTTAAAAGAATAACTGCTTTTTCTTAAACCACTGAAAAATTAGCATCAAAAATAATCAAGACCAAATTTCCTAGAGAAAATCAAATTTTATAAAGCATCCCCTAGGAAACTAACGTTTCAAACCTCTAAACAAAAAGATACTAAAACTTAAGCAACAGAAAAAGAATCTTATTGTATTTACTAGTGGTAAATACAGTTGTTACCACAGCTAATTTTCCTTTGATTTGAAATGAGAGAAACCAATTCTGGATAGTTAAAAGTAAGAAATGCAAATTGGAAATGGTGGTTCATGCCCATGGTGGGAGGCTAAGGCAGGAGTATTACAAGTTCACATTCTGCCTGTGCAACTTAGTGAGACCCTGTCTAAACAAATAAAAGAAACAAACAAATAAAACATGCAAGCCATACCCAACAGTATAAGCAACACCTAGGTGGCTTGGTGGGGTTCAATGATAAGGAGTTTTCTGACAGCTGAGCCAGGCTGCAGCCAGCCACCCACAGAAAGAGCACCTAACTGCCTACCAACCAGCCCCAAGTACAGAATCTGATTAGGAGGACCACTGGCCGGCCTCTCCTTCCAGGAGTGCCTACAGCTATGTAATCACTGCAAATCCAAAGTGGAGATCTTCAAATTGCAAGCAAGTAAACCCAGTGGAGGAGCTGCTGATGTTTACGGCTGTGATGATCAATTGTAAGTGTCAGTTGACTGGATTAAAAGATGCCTGGAGAGCAGGTCAAGTGTTCTTGCTAGGTGTTTTCTTGATTGTGGAAGACACCTTCATTGTGGGCAAGCACTGTCCAATTGGCTGTGGTTGTGGATAGAATAAAACAAGCAAAAGAACTGTGAATTTTCTCTCTTCTCTCTTCTCTCTCTCTCCTCCCTGGGGCCTGAGTGCTCTCCTCTTCCTGCCTTATATATCAAGACTCCAGGCTCTCCAGCCTTGGGCTTTAGGACTTGTACCAGCAGGACTCCTGGGAATGTCAGGCCTTCCCCCTTAGACTTAGAATGACACCATCTGCCTTCATGTTTCTTAGGCCTTTGGACTTGAGCTGAGCTACTGGTATCCCTGGGACTCTCTGCAGATGGGTTGCTGTGGGATTGCACAGCCTCCAACATCATGGTGCCAGTTTCTCTAATAAGCCCCTCCCATGTATTTATCTGTTTATCCATCTGTATAAGTGTGTATATATGTGTACATGCGTGTGTTTGTGTGTGTGTGTGTGTGTGTGTTCTGTCTCTCGGGACATCATAAATGCAATGGTACAAATTGATCTCTACCACTCAGACTCTAAGTCACTTTCCCCCAGTGGAGAGATCTACCCTGTGATAGTCACACTGTTCGTCCTGGATCCAGAATTTAGGTGGCATTTGCAAGGCTTTGGTCTTGCTAACAAGGAAGAATCTCATCAATCCCATCCAATTACTAGAGCTCTTTGAAATTCTGCATTCAAAGAGTTGCCATGATAAACTTTTTTTCTTTTTGAAGTACTAGAAATTGAGCCCAGGGCCATGACACTGAGCTATATCCCAGTCCTTTCTTTAAAAAAATTTTTCTTTTTAATTTTGAGACAGGGTCTCACTAACTTTCCTGGGCTGAGCTCAAATTTACAATCCTGCTGTCTTCACCTCCCAGAGTGCAACATGATAGACTTTTGAGAGAGGCTTTCTACACTCAGTGGATTTGATATGAAAATATAAGCATAAAAAACAAGTACAACAAAGTGAATATATGTAGTACCATAGAATTTCACATATGCCATGTTAAGAAAGAGCCCTACAAGTACAGCCCCATGTCTTTGGGTCCAATGGTGGAATTCAAGGGATGTTGCCAGGACAGTCAAGAGTTATCCCAATTATGTGTTTCTCCAAAGTCACAAGACAAGTTGCTGCTTTGAACTCCTCACTGCAGCAGCAGGAGAGACAGGACAGTGAAGCAGAACCTGAAGATGAAAGACCTTCTAGTGCAGTAGCCACAGGGCAGAGACTCTCTGAACACAAGGCAGTGTGGGAACAGCCTTTAAAAGTGCTCACAAAACAAAGAACAATAGCAGAGGTGTTCAGTTTTCAGCCATTCACTTGATTAATGATCCCAAAGGCTCTGTGCCAAAATCACTAAAGCAGTTAGAGTGCTTTACGGACAGGTGTAAAGTGAAGATGATCCTCAAAGACATGTACCAGATAGGTGGGAATCAGGGAGCTTTTCTACTGTAGCTTTTACCCCTCATGCAGAGCTTTCTGCAGCCCCATCAAAGAGAAGCAACCAATGACCTTCTGCTTGCTGCAC